AAACACCACCACTACCACAAACACCACCACTACCACAAACACCACCACTACCACAAACCACCACCACTACCACAAACACCACCACCACTACCACAAACACCACCACCACTACCACAAACACCACCACCACTACCACAAACACCACCACTACCACAAACACCACCACCACTACCACAAACACCACCACTACCACAAACACCACCACCACTACCACAAACACCACCACAACTACCACAAACACCACAACTACCACAAACACCACCACTACCACAAACACCACCACCACTACCACAAACACCACCACTACCACAAACACCACCACTACCACAAACACCACCACCACCACCACAAACACCACCACCACCAAACAAACACCACCACAACTACCACAAACACCACCACCACTACCACAAACACCACCACCACTACCACAAACACCACCACCACTACCACAAACACCACCACCACTACCACAAACACCACCACCACTACCACAAACACCACCACCACTACCACAAACCACCACCACCACTACCACAAACACCAACACTACCCACGCCACACCACCACTACCACAAACACCACCCACTACCACAAACACCACCACTACCACAAACACCACCACAACTACCACAAACACCACCACCACTACCACAAACACCACCACCACTACCACAAACACCACCACCACTACCACAAACACCACCACAACTACCACAAACACCACCACTACCACAAACACCACCACTACCACAAACACCACCACAACTACCACAAACACCACCACCACTACCACAAACACCACCACCACTACCTCAACACCACCACCACTATACACCACCACCACTACCACAAACACCACCACCACTACCACAAACACCACCACCACTACCACAAACACCACCACCACTACCACAAACACCACCACCACTACCACAAACACCACCACCACTACCACAAACACCACCACTACCACAAACACCACCACCACTACCACAAACACCACCACCACTACCACAAACACCACCACCACTACCACAAACACCACCACCACTACCACAAACACCACCACCACTACCACAACACACCACCACCACTACCACACCACCACCACCACTACCACAAACACCACCACCACTACCACAAACACCACCACCACTACCACACACCACCACCACTACCACAAACACAAACACCACCACCACTACCACAAACACCACCACTACCACAAACACCACCACCACTACCACAAACACCACCACCACCACCACAAACACCACCACCACTACCACAAACACCACCACTACCACAAACACCACCACTACTACCACAAACACCACCCACCACTACCACAAACACCACCACACCACAAACACCACAAACACCACCACTACCACAAACACCACCACCACTACCACAAACACCACCACTACCACAAACACCACCACCACTACCACAAACACCACCACCACTACCACAAACACCACCACCACTACCACAAACACCACCACCACTACCACAAAACACCACCACTACCACCAACACACCACCACTACCACCACAAACACCACCACTACCACAAACACCACCACCACTACCACAAACACCACCACCACTACCACAAACACCACCAAACACCACAAACACCACTACCACAAACACCACCACTACCACAAACACCACCACACTACCACAACACACCACCACCACACCACCACCACCACCACCACCTACCACAAACACCACCACCACTACCACAAACACCACCACCACTACCACAAACACCACCACCACTACCACAAACACCACCACCACCACCACAAACACCACTACCACAAACGCCACCACCACCACTACCACAAACACCACCACTACCACAAACACCACCACCACCACCACAAACACCACCACCACTACCACAAACACCACCACCACTACCACAAAACCACCACCACCACCACCACACGCCACCACCACCACTACCACAACCACCACCACCACCACACCACCACTACCACAAACACCACACCACCACAAACACCACCATAACACCACCACCACCACCACATACACCACAAACACCACCACAAACAAACACCACCACTACCACAAACACCACCACCACCACAAACACCACCACCACTACCACAAAAACACCACCACCACCACAAACACCACCACCACTACCACAAACACCACCACCACCACAAACACCACCACCACTACCACAAACACCACCACCACTACCACAAACACCACCACCACCACCACAACACCACCACCACCACAAACACCACCACCACAAACACCACAAACACCACCACCACCACAAACACCACCACCACTACCACAAACACCACCACGCCACCACACCACCACACCACCACCACTACCACCAACCACACCACAAACACCACCACTACCACAAACACCACCACCACCTACCACAAACACCACCACCACTACCACAAACACCACCACCACCACAAAACCACCACCACCACCACCACCACAACCACCACCACCACCACACACCACCACCACTACCACAAACACCACCACCACAAACACCACCACAAACACCACCACCACTACCACAAACACCACCACCACCACCACAAACACCACCACCACTACCACAAACACCACCACCACCACAAACACCACCACCACTACCACAAACACCACCACCACCACAAACACCACCACTACCACAAACACCACCACCACTACCACAAACACCACCACCACCACCACAACCACACCACCACCACCACCACCACACCACCACCACTACCACAAACACCACCACCACTACCACAAACACCACCACTACCACAAACACCACCACCACTACCACAAACACCACCACCACTACCACAAACACCACCACTACCACAAACACCACCACCACTACCACAAACACCACCACTACCACAAACACCACCACCACTACCACAAACACCACCACCACTACCACAAACACCACCACTACCACAAACACCACCACCACTACCACAAACACCACCACCACTACCACAAACACCACCACCACTACCACAAACACCACCACCACTACCACAAACACCACCACCACCACAAACACCACCACCACCACAAACACCACCACTACCACAAACACCACCACTACCACAAACACCACCACTACCACAAACACCACCACCACTACCACAAACACCACCACTACCACAAACACCACCACCACTACCACAAACACCACCACTACCACAAACACCACCACTACCACAAACACCACCACCACTACCACAAACACCACCACTACCACAAACACCACCACCACCACAAACACCACCACTACCACAAACACCACCACTACCACACAACACCACCACCACTACCACCAAACACCACCACTACCACAAACACCACCACCACTACCACAAACACCAACACACCACCACTACCACAAACACCACCACCACTACCACAAACACCACCACTACCACAAACACCACCACCACCACAAACACCAACACCACCACAAACCACAAACACCACCACTACCACAAACACCACCACTACCACAAACACCACCACCACTACCACAAACACCACCACTACCACAAACACCACCACCACTACCACAAACACCACCACTACCACAAACACCACCACCACTACCACAAACACCACCACCACTACCACAAACAACACCACTACCACAAACACCACCACCACTACCACAACACCACCACCACTACCACAAACACCACCACTACCACAAACACCACCACCACTACCACAAACACCACCACTACCACACCACACCACCACCACTACCACAAACACCACCACTACCACAAACACCACCACTACCACAAACACCACCACTACCACAAACACCACCACTACCACACAACACCACCACTACCACAAACACCACCACTACCACAAACACCACCACCACTACCACAAACACCACCACTACCACAAACACCACCACTACCACAAACACCACCACTACCACAAACACCACCACCACTACCACAAACACCACCACTACCACAAACACCACCACTACCACAAACACCACCACTACCACAAACACCACCACCACCACAAACACCACCACCACCACAAACACCACCACCACTACCACAAACACCACCACTACCACAAACACCACCACCACTACCACAAACACCACCACTACCACAAACACCACCACCACTACCACAAACACCACCACTACCACAAACACCACCACCACCACAAACACCACCACTACCACAAACACCACCACCACTACCACAAACACCACGCTCCTGCCTTCTAAGTCTCCCAGGATGCTCCAGTAAGTTGTTGATAACTCCCAGTGATTTAGTTTGATTTAGAAAGGATGTTTGTACGTGGAGTGTGTATATGTGTGTGTGTGTATGTGTATGTGTATGTGTATGTTCGTGTGCGTGTGCGTGCGTGTGGGTGCTTTACTCCGCCCAACACAGTCTGGTGTCTTCATTACCATTACCAATACAGTGATTATCATCGCGTGTAAACAGAGTAAATTGGCGGGTAAAGTATTGCCTCCTGGAGGGCGCGTCGCGAGGCGAGGCGATGCCATCTACAACCGCCGCTGCCTCCTTGATTTGATGGTCTCCCGTGTCGTCTTAGTGCCTCCATACTTGCCAAAAGATTCACGTAATTTTTGGCATCCAAATGCTGTAAAAACGCAGTCAAAATCTCTCTACCAAGTAGGCAGAATAGCATTAAGTGATGTATCCGGTATTATCTCCCTGCCAACCAATGGGATTTGGAGGTGTGTCCACGGCGGAGGTGATTGGCTGGCTCCGCCATTGATCCGATTGGGGCTCCGCCCCGCAGCCAATCAGGAGCCTCGGTGAGTGCGAGAATGGGGCGGAGTCGTCTTTAAGGGGATGTGAGTAAAGTGAAGTATTTGTGAGCATTATTTGATGACCGATACTGGTAGTCAAGTGAGCAGTTAGCGACATTATCGGGCCGCGAGTACTACATTAGTGATCGCCTGCGACAGTCGGTATCCTCAGCTCGTAGCGCAAGGAAAGACGCCGACGAGCTCCCGCCAATACCCAAGCGTCGCTACCATCAACTCCCTGCCTGTCCCTCGGAGTACCAGTCTCAGATTTGATCACCGAACTTTGGGTAAAGTTGGGTCAGGAGTGAGTGTTTCAGGACTCTGGTCAAGGGAGACATTCTGACTGTTAGTGGCGAGTGAAACTTGAGGTGTTCCTCGAGGTGACGCTCCTCTCTTGACGCCTTGACTGACGGAGCCGCTGACGGAGCGGGGAATTTCTGCCTTCCTGCCGCCGCTACGAGTTTCTAAGTGTGGTTGAGAGGCTTTTGGCGCGGCCCTTAGCGGCGGAGGTGGCATGCTGGAGCTCAACCAGCCTCCAACGTCGACTAGCGCCGGCGGCATGTTGTCATTCCTCTCCAACATGGACAACCGCGGCGGGCTAGTCCTCAACCCGCCACTCGCCGCCCTACACACAATGACCGATATGAAGTCCCTATACGCGCAGCAGTCCGTCAAATCCCTCTCGCCGCAGTCGCCGCCGCAGCTCTCGCCGCAGGGAATCTCGCCGCAGGAGCTTGCGGCGTCGTATGCGTCAGCTGTCACCACCGCACCCTCCTCCACCACCACACTCGCCACGCCGCACAACATCGAAAACATCCTCAATAGGCCTAGTCCGCTGGTGACAACGTCGACGGGTTTGTGCGGCGTCGGCCAGATGGGCGGCATGTCGGGCCTGGGCCGCCTCGGAGGCTCCATGAGCCTGTACAGCGGCCTGGCCGGCAAGATGGCAGACCTGGCCCGCCCACCTTCCATATACTGGCCGGGAGTGCAAGGCATGTTGCAAAACCCGCTCTTCTGGAGGGAGAGGATACAGAACAGTCATGGTGAGTGATCTTTCTCTAGTTCAAGCACTCGTACTGAGGCCTCACACGCACTCGGCGTCACAGTAACCACTCAAATCCACTTTGACTTCGTAGAAAGTACTCGCACGCACTTTCCTTTCACAGTAATCACTCAAATGCACTTTTCTTCTTCTTCACAGTAAGTATACTCACACTCTAACCACCATCACAGTCCTCTAGCTCCACCCCAATCACTGATTCCCACACACAGACACTCACAGACACTCACCAACACTCACAGACACTCACCAACACTCACAGACACTCACCAACACTCACAGACACTCTCCAACACACACAGACACTCACAGACACTCACCAACGCTCACAGACACTCACCAACACTCACAAACATGGTTTGTGACGGTAAGTCCCAGGTACAGTCATGTCCCGACACCCTCGCCGTGTCCATCAATATTCACGTTAATGTATAGGTACTGTTTTTATTATTATTTGTATTTATTATATCTAGCTTCTGTTAGTCGGAAGTTGTTGTGCATAGCTCCTGTTGTGGGCGTGAGTTGCCAGCAACAGTGTGCCACAGGGGTGCCATAGTGTGCCATAGGGTGCCTCACAGAAAAAATATAACCCTCTACAGCTCACCATTCAGTAATTAGCAAATTCAAGCAGGTAGGGAAATGTGCCTAATAATATGTAATAAGTGAATATATATATATATATATATATATATATATATATATATATATATATATATATATATATATATATATATATATATATATATATATATATATATGGCATCACACAATAATAATATTGGGAGATGACAAGATGACAATAGTAGCAGCAGCTGTGGGAGGAGGGAGGGGGAGATGGAGATGGGGAATGAGGGGGGAAGAGGGGGGGGGGGTAAGAGGGGGGGGCCCCAAGAGCCAAGGGGTGGGCCCCTAACTACCGCGAACAACACAGGGTGCCCAGTATGGCACTCTGGTGACTATCGTGCCATATCACATGGCACTGCTAAGCCCACATTAGTGAGTGACAGCGTTACACGGATCAACTCCCGCTCAAACGGGTATATGGTTCAGACAACAATATAAGCATGTTAACGAGCGCTGCTTGAACAAGCAGGTCGGATTAGTTGGTGTGGAAACCTGTCTTATGACACTAGTCTCGTCTAACAGTTAACACGTGAACGGTCAAACAATTGCAAAGTGTAAAGTCTAACAATTACGACGTGTAAAGTCTAACAATTACGACGTGTAAAGTCTAACAATTACAACGTGCAAAGTCTAACAATTACGTGTAAAGTCTAACAATTACAACGTGCAAAGTCTAACAATTACGTGTAAAGTCTAACAATTACGTGTAAAGTCTAACAATTACGTGTAAAGTCTAACAATTACGTGTAAAGTCTAACAATTACGTGCAAAGTCTAACTATTACGTGTAAAGTCTAACAATTACGTGTAAAGTCTAACAATTACGTGCAAAGTCTAACAATTACGTGCAAAGTCTAACAATTACGTGTAAAGTCTAACAATTACAACGTGCAAAGTCTAACAATTACGTGTAAAGTCTAACAATTACAACGTGTAAAGTCTAACAATTACAACGTGCAAAGTCTAACAATTACGTGCAAAGTCTAACAATTACGTGTAAAGTCTAACAATTACGACGTGTAAAGTCTAACAATTACGACGTGTAAAGTCTAACAATTACGACGTGTAAAGTCTAACAATTACGACGTGTAAAGTCTAACAATTACGACGTGTAAAGTCTAACAATTACGACGTGTAAAGTCTAACAATTACAACGTGTAAAGTCTAACAATTACGACGTGTAAAGTCTAACAATTACAACGTGTAAAGTCTAACAATTACGTGCAAAGTCTAACAATTACGTGTAAAGTCTAACAATTACAACGTGTAAAGTCTAACAATTACAACGTGTAAAGTCTAACAATTACAACGTGTAAAGTCTAACAATTACAACGTGTAAAGTCTAACAATTACAACGTGTAAAGTCTAACAATTACAACGTGTAAAGTCTAACAATTACAACGTGTAAAGTCTAACAATTACAACGTGTAAAGTCTATCCAAATAATTTATAACTATCTCTAACAAACTCCACAAACACGTAACTCCACAAACACGTAACTCCACAAACACGTAACTCCACAAACACGTGACTCCACAAACAAACTAACAAACACATAAGAACGAAATTATATTTTAAACTATCTGATAAAAGTTCCCAAGGATTCAATAATCATTTACTCACTTACGAAACCCGTCCATCTTTCCTCAATCATGGCGGCTTTGTTTACATTTATTAAACAACTGATAAACCCTGTATGATAAACAACTGATAAACAACTGTATTAAACCCTGTAATATATAAAATTGTTTATAAGAAGAACAACATTGAGTTGTGAAATTCCGAAACTGTTTAATATATCTAAAAATAAGATAATAAATTACTTTTAACATCGTATTAATACATTGAAACTAAAATAAAAATGATTGAAATTGAACTAATGCATAATCACGTCATTACAGGTGTCGGGGTAGTTAAGACGATCTTAATTCCTGTCATGCAGGATCAAATTAGATCCTTATTGTCTATGGTCATAAGATAATAAGTTTTTTACGTGTTGGAATTACATTTCTTGTTTTTTAATGTAAGATTATTGAAATAATTTTAATTATGTTAAAATAATTCAAAATTATAGTCAATTCCTTGCTGTTATAATTTTTATAATAATTATTAATATAATTGCTATAATTCTTAAAATTATTATTATTAATATAATTCATAACATTATTATAATTTGTACTAACCTAAAATTCAGATAAAACAAATAAGACATAAACTATATACATATATATATATATATATATATATATATATATATATATATATATATATATATATATATATATATAAATGACCCGAAAAGGATTCGAACCCATGCCGGCAAGGATCACCCCTAAACGCACACGGTACCGTGACCACCGCATCAACTGATTGTCCCGATTTAGATTTAGACGTTTAGACGATCAATTGGTCTAATTGGTTTGGTGGTTATGGTTCGTGTACGTTTAGGAGTGATCCTAGACGTCATGGGTTCGAATCCTGGCCGGGTTATATATATATTTCATTACACATATCTTTAGAGACGCGAATGAAAGCAAATCATGGCCGAAGAAAATCATGTAAGGACAAGAGATAACAAGATAACATGATGATATCTATGACAATATTGGCAGTGGTGTGCCTGATAAGAGAGCGGCTATAGTGATGTTATCCTTCTGGCTATCTTCCCCTTCTCGAGGACATCTTTGTCAATTTGTGCTATCATCTTTTTCGTGGCCTTTTCAATTTCCGTTTTAAATTTTAAGGCGATTTTTATTATTATTTGTGTTTTAAAAATTTTATTTAGTATTTTTATTCGTATTACTTTCTTTATTCTCACTTCCTTTCTCTCTTTCTGTCGACTTCTTACTGATCTTTCCATCTATTTATTTCGATTTCTTACCCCCCTTTTTTATCAATATTTCTACTTCTTTCTGCCATTTCTTTTTTGCTTTTTACTATTCTCCATTTTTTTTAATTCCATTTCTGCTCTTCTCGCCTTTATCTATGCTTTCTATTCACTTTTTCTCTTTGGCATTTCTTTGTTTCTTCTCTAATTATTGTTGTATCTTCCTCTAATCTCACCTTTTTTTACTCTCATTATATTTTGCACCTTTTTCTCCCTTTATTCTGTCTTTCCTTTTTTTTCTACTTCAGTTTCGACTTTTATTTTTTGTTTATCCATTTTTTTTAACTGTAACTAACGCTTATTAGTATTCCTTATGTCTTTTTTCATTTTTCCTATTTTTTATTTATTTTTTAGTTTTTCCTTAACTTTTTAGAACTATCTGTATTATCATTTTCGTCATTTTCACCGATTGATGGAAATTATAGAAACCAAAGACTGGACGAAAATGAAAAATAATAGAAAATCACTTTCGTACATTATTGAGTCTTGAAATTGAAATTGAAATTGAAATAAGTTTATTGAGGTGAATTGAGTCTTTCCTAGTTCTCAAATTAGCAATTATTTGTTTTCATATTTTTAATATAACTTGCTATTTTCTTTTGTACTTTTCATATGTTTTCTTTTTACAAGAGTCTGTATATATATTTTGTATTATCATGTTTGTTTGTTTGTTTGTTTGAATGAAAGACTCAATATATATGTATAAGTGTATTAAAATGTATTTTTTCCGGATGTAATCTCTGTTCTTTCTCAAGGGTCTGTATACAATGTATGTATACAATGTTGTATACAATGTATGTATACAATGTTGTATACAATGTATGTATACAATGTTGTATACAATATACAGAATATTGTATACAGCCTTTTGAGAAAAGGCTGAAGAATACATCTGGAATTTATTTTTGTCATGAAGGTGAGTTTTATTCACCTTCAGCCAAGCACTAGGGTATTGTATTATGTTTATCTATTGTTGTATTTTTTCAATCCTGTCTTTATCCCTCTCTTCCTTCTCTACCTTCTTTGTCTCATTTTCTTTATCCTTCTCTCTCCTCATCTCTCTCCTCCCACACATTCTTCTCCATGTCTTGCTCTTCTTCCCTCTTTCTCTCCTCACTTTGCCTCCCCCCTCTTCATCCTATTCAATTTTCTCTCTTCTCTCTACGATACCGTCCCCCACACACACCCTTTTAACCTCTTTTCCTTCAAGTCTCTCCCCCTCCCATTCTCTCCACCCTTCCCAGTCTCTTCAACCCCTCCCAAACCCCTTTTCTTTCCCCTTTTCGTTATATCCACCCCCTTCTTATCTGTCCTACCCCCCCTCCATTCACCACCCCCCTACACCATTTTTCCTCACTATCAACACCGGAAAAAGTACGCATTTCGGGTCCCAGCGGTTATCGGGTCCCGCTGGTTATCGGGTCCCGCCGGTTATCGGGTCCCGCCGGTTATCGGGTCCCGCCGGTTATCGGG